TGCAATAAACTTATTGTCTGATCCTAAAAATTTTAAAAATCTATTTTCATCAAATGTCAGATTTGGAACAATTGATATCAATTCAAGTTGAATTATTAAAAATTGCTCATCTATAAGTTTCATAAAATCACTAGCTAATTTTATTCTTTCCTTAAAAAAATTACCTATCGTTTCATCATAAACAATATTTTTTGTTAAAATGAAATTATAAATTTTAAAATCACAAATGTTTATACTTTTTTGAGTTACATAGTAGATTAATGAATGGATGAGAGAATCATTATCTAATAAAGAACAAATATTGATATTTATGTCTAAATGTGCTAATAAATTAATACATAGAGATTTTAATTCATCAGAAACATCTTTATAAACGTAACTGGCAATTTCTTTAATCAATTCTTCATCAATGTTATTGTGTTGAACAAAATTAATTAAATAAAGATTAAGATTGGATAAATCAGAATGTGAAATATTCTTAAAATTAATTAAATTTAAGTTTTCTAAAATATAAAGTTGATTGATCATCTTTAAAAAATCTATTAAAAATTATTATTAATTTAAAAAATAAACTCTCATCTAATACATTAATTATTATTTAAATTAACTAAGTTATATGTATAAATGTTATATTTAAATAGTTATATTTAAACAATTATTAAATTTAATCATTCAAAATTTGTAGTTAATATTTATTAAAAATTTTGAATGATAAAATAATTTTATAACTACTTGTAAATTTAAATGTTTATTTTTATTAAAAATTTTATAATTATTTGTAATTTGACGTGTTTGTAAGCCTTTAAATGTAAAACTATTTTTAATAAAAATTATAGCAAATAAAATAGTTAATGATTAAAAAAATTATATAAAAATTTTTAATACAAATTTCAATGAAAAACTTATAAAAAATTTTTAAACCCATAAAATAATGGCAACAGAGTTTGATATAGATAAAATAATATCTAAATTAATATCTGTTCGAACAAAGAATAATAAAATTGTGAATTTAACTGAAGAAGAACTAGAAGGATTGATCCAAAGAGTTCAGAATATCTTTGAATCACAGCCAATTCTACTGGAGATAAAAACACCAATAAATATTTGTGGGGATATTCACGGACAGTACTCAGATTTATTATCTTTGTTTGAATTTGGATATTATCCACCGAAATCAAACTACTTATTCCTTGGAGATTATGTTGATAGAGGAAAACAAAGTCTTGAATGTATAGCACTCTTATTTGCTTACAAAATTAAATATCCAGAAAATTTCTTTTTGCTAAGAGGAAATCATGAATCAGAAGAAATTAATAGAATTTATGGATTCTATGACGAGTGTAAAAGAAGGTATAATATTAGACTGTGGAAAAAATTTTGTGAAGCATTTAATTGGATGCCAGTATGTGCATTGGTTGGGGAAAGGATTTTCTGTATGCATGGTGGTATATCACCTGATTTCGCATCTATGGATCATATTAGAAATATTTCAAGACCAACTGGTATCACTGATCAAGGACTGTTATGTGATTTACTATGGAGTGACCCAGACAAACAAATTACTGGTTGGGGCACAAATGACAGAGGTGTCTCTGTGACATTTGGTGCAGATAAAGTAAAAGAATTCTTAGAAAAGTTTAATCTTGATATTATAGTTAGAGCACATCAGGTTGTTGAGGATGGATATGAATTTTTTGGTGAAAAAGATCTTGTAACTGTCTTTAGTGCACCAAATTACTGTGGTGAATTTACAAACAGTGGTGCAATATTAACCGTTGAAGAAGGACTTCATTGCTCTTTTAAAGTTCTTAAACCTACAAATAGTAGTGAGTATTCACTCGATAAGATTAAAAGATAAATTTTATAATCTTATTGTTTTTTTACCCTTTTAAATGCCAGAAAGAGTTAACACCAATAAAGATGTATCAAGAGCTATTTTTGGAAATTTTAAATCATTAAAGTTAAAATTTAAAGTTAAACCTGAATTTAACAGAAGGATATTCTATAAAAGAAATAATATAAGCTTGAATTGTACAGATGATTATTTTGATGGAATTAAAACAGATGATCTTGTAAAAGTTATAAAATCTTCTAATGATAAGAATAATTTGTTGAGGTATTCAAATGATCATTTATTAATTAATAAAGAGGAATATAATTTTTTAAGAAACTTTTATTTAAAGTATAAAAAGTCTGTTCTAAGTAAAGAAGTTAATGTTCAAATAAAAAAATTAGAAAATTCTAATTTTTTAAAAAACTATGAAATTTTAAAATTAGATGAATTTTTATCATCCGAAAGAAATGAAATTGTTAAAATAAATTCAAATTTTATAAAAAATAATGTAACAGAAGGGGTTACAAATTCAATTAACGATATGAATGACAATTATGAAGATAAGTTACTAGACAAGGAATCTGAATTGATGAAAGAAGAATTAGAATTACTTGAAAAAGAAAAGAGGTTGTGTAAAGAGAAAGAGTTATTAATTGAAAAGAAAGAAATGATTATTAAAGAAGCTTATAAAATACATAAAGAGAAACTTAAGTTGTATGAAGAAAGAAAGAAACTTTTTGCTAAATTAGATGAAAAGATTCAGTCAATCGGAAATAAAAAACAGCCAGAAGTTAAAGCATTTGAATCAAATGAAATAGAAAATAGTTTAATTTTAAAAAATGATCATGAAAATAATTCTAAGAGAATTAAAAAAGAAGTATCATTAAAATCAAACAGTTCCATTGAAGTTAAAAACTTTAAAAATCTAGACTTAAATAACGATCAAATTAAAAATAACTTTGATTTAATTGAAACTACAAAAGCAAATAAAAATCTAGTTACAGATTATAAAGAAGATTTTAATAATTTAAAAACTACTCAATTGGTTGATAATGTTTTGATTGCTAAAAATTTTAATGAAGACAATATTTTGTTAAAGAAAAATGAAGAAGATAAGTTAAATTTAAACGAAGGAGAATATGATTTTAATGTTTTTTACTCATTAAACTTAAAGAATAATATTTCATTTGATATGCAATATCCTAATGTATTGGAAATAAAAGATAGTAAAATACACGGGAAGGGGATATTTACAACTATAGATATCCCTGAAAGTGTATTTATTATTACGTATGAAGGTATTATAATAGGAAAGTGTATGAGTGATAAACTTGAAAAGGGTTATCTTAAGAATAACCAGAATTCTATTTATATGTTTAGATACGAGGATGATATGATATTTGATGCTACTATTTATGGAAACAAAGCAAGGTATATTAATCATAGTTGTGATCCAAATTGTACAACTTTTAATAGTAAAAAATTAAAACGAATTTGTTATCAGTCAATAAAAAACATAAAAGCGGGAACTGAATTAACAATTAATTATAATTTTAAATTTGAGAATAAAGAGGTGTGTAGATGTGGCTCTAATAATTGTAGATCTAAATAAAATTCTAAACTATATTTTTAAAAGTGATCGACCCAGGATTCGAACCTGGGACCTTTTGCGTGTAAAGCAAACGTGATAACCACTACACTAGCCGATCTCATTATTTATTTTAAATATAAATATAATCAGTTTTTACTTAAATTATTAATTAAGAAAAGTTTTAAAAGAATATAATTAATTTTAAAACTCTTTCCAGTGTAATATTGAAAACAAAATAAAAGTTAAACTAATTGATATTTTTGTAAAATTACACATAACTAGGTTTGATTATAAAATTTAATAAAAATAAACTTTCAATCAATTATTAAAAATATAATCTTTAACAAACTTTTTTAATACAATAAATATTATAGTTTCATTTATTAAAAACCTATCTTTATCTTTAAATTAATTTATGTTTGTTTTTATAATTACAATACACGAGTTTAAATAAACTTAACAAT